AAATTTACACCAAGTTTATAGTAAAAAATATATTCTTTTTTGTGGAAAGATATTATAGTTTTAAAAATCTTTTTAAAATATATAATATTAATAAAATAACATTAAAAAAAAAGTGTCATTCACGGGATAGGGTTTTGAGTTGTGTGCTTTAAGATTTTTGTGGGCCTCTTTAAATTTTTTTAATTTTTTTATTAATCTATTGTGTTCTCCATAGTCCATAACATGCTTTTCACGACGAAAGAATAGTTAAAAGAAAACACTGTCAATGGGGAGATTGATTAGGCTTTAATTAATTTTCAGCCTCTTTTCTTTTTCTTATGAATTCCTTTTTCAATGTAGTTTCGTTTTCTTTCTAAAGTTCATATGGACAACGTTTCTTTTCATGTAGGACATTAATTGACTCAACTATTTGAGTTTTGGCTGTATTTCTAAACTCTAATTCTCAACTTGCAGTGAGAGCTAACTCTTCTTAATATTCTAGATAATCAGTCCATAAAATTTAATGACTATATATCACTCCCTGAGACAGAGTTTAGCTACACGTTAAACAAAAAAAAAAGAATTATATCTATGAGTGTCGGGGCCAACTTGGGTTGGGCGCACCACGATTAATCTCATGGGATAACTGCTTGATCCTACTTCATTTGGTCGCCAAGGAAAAGTATAGGTAGGTGGTTATCATGAGGTTTGAACTCATATTCCCTTTAAATCTTTTTTATTTACTTTAGCCCCTTTCGACCAATGAGCCAAGTTCCGTAGCAAGCTCCTCACTTAAGTTCTATAGCTAAAAATATTAAAATAAAAACAATAAACTTCCAACTCAAGTTCGATAGCAAAACTAGAAAAAGCAGGAGAAATGAGGAAACTAATTATTTTATGTTGATTGACCGTCCCTAAGCCAATTTCTATGACGCAGAGTCTTGAAAATCTCTTCTCTAAGTTCCTTGTGTAAGACCCCCACATTGAAAAGATAACGGACCTAATAAGGGTTTATAATAGATATAGGTTACTCCTCTCATTGTCAATTGGTTTTGAGATGGAAACCTATGAATATTTATATAGTATCAAAGCCCAAAAACTCAAACGAGTATCTGATCCAAAAATGCGATCCAATCAAAATTGGTGAACTCAAAAGAGATGTCATCTTGAAAGTGTATGTTAAAATTCCCACATTAGAAAATTAAGGGATGTAACAAGGATTTATAATAGAGACATGGACTACTCCTATTATCAAATGAGCATCCCATTAAAAATGGGATCCAACCAAGATTGGAGAATCCTTGAAGGAGCATGTTAAAGATCACACATTGAAAAGATACGGTACCTGACAAAGTTTTATAATAGATATATTGGTGCGATAATGTCATGATGTCATTAGTGAGTATCATGGAGCTAGTAATAACAAAACAAAACGGGGGAAGAAAAACTTCTTTCTGACTTTGCGCTTCAAGCCCCATGACACTATTTCAAGAATCTTGGCGTTGTTGTCTAGGGCCTCCTCTAACTCAAACATTTGGACTGTGAGGGTACAACTCTCTGCCATTAGTTCAAGGTTTTCATATAGTGCCCTTTTTCAAAGTGGCCTCTCGACTACCAGCCTGAGTTGCATGGACTAGAACTTTCCTTTCAATGCCTACATTGCCTCCCGAAACACAAATACGCAGTGCTTCTCTGAACTAGCAACGTTACGATAAGAAGGGGAAGATGGAGAAGACATCCTATCTTCTCCATTTCGCTCCCCATTCGTGGAAGGATCATACCTGTAAGAAGAGTGGTTAGCACCTTCAAAAGACATTTTGGACACTATGAAATCTAAATCTTAGAGACAAAAAGCAAATAGAAACCCATTACAAACCTCATATATGTTTTTTACTTTGTTCCCTATTCCTTATTACTTCTAAAATATACAATAGATTAAAGAATCTTATTAAAATATATATAATACTAAGTATGGAATCATGTGCCGGCTGAGGTCCTAAAATATTGTTTCAAGGTTTCTTAAACCACCGTTCAAAAAATGGACTATTTTTCCCCCTTTTCTTTGTCTTTTTTTTCCTCCCTTTTTTGTTCATCTACATTTTCTTGTGGAGGCCATGCTTTTCACGACGGAATGAATTGCCATCTATTAGCACTATAAATACTACTCCTAGCTTCTTTGATTCGCCAACAAGTCCATAGAAAATGGAAATACTGAACAATTTTTGGGCTCTCTTGGGAGCTTCTATAGGGCTATATTTCTTTGTATTTGGATTCCTAAGGAACTTCAATGAGCTATGGTACTTTCTCAGGTTGGGAGGCAAGATCTACAATGCCCTCCCTCCCGGCCACATGGGTTGGCCTCTTCTCGGCTCCTCTCTGTCGTTCTACAAAGCATTTAAAATCGGCGGCGACCCCAATTCCATCATCAACCATCTCGTTTCCCGGTATCCATCTCTCCCGATCTCGATCCGAGAATATGAATAAATGACTAAATCAAACACCATTTCTTTCCCTGTTTTGACAGATACGGAAGAGTTAGGATGTACAAAAGCCACCTCTACGGGAGCCCGGTGATTATCGTGACAGATCCAGAAGTGTGCCGACGTGTATACTTAGACGACGAGCGCTTCAAGCTGAGCTATCCAAAGTCAGTGAACATATTGCAAGGCGATCGTTCACTGCTGAAGATAGACTACAAAATAGTGCACAGGCTGATGGCAGCTCCCATAAATGGGAGCGAGGCGTTGTCCAAGTATATGGGGTTCATTGAGGAAGCCGTGGTGAAGGGGCTGGAGGAATGGGGCAGCGTGAAGGGGCCGGTGGAGCTGCTCCTTGAATTCAAACGCCTCACATTCAAAGTGATTACAGGGGTTTTTTTGGGGCCTGCTTTCACAGACTCCGAAATTGCTCAGCTTGAGAATTTGTATGCAGAGATTGGGCTCGCAATCTTGTCCATTTTCCCTTATGACTTGCCTGGATTTAGTTACCGCCGAGCTCTCAAGGTACGCCTAATTTCTTGTCGTTGCTCTATTCTTCTTGTTTTTTGGGTGTGCTCTGCTTGGCGACTGGTGAGACCGTGAGAATCCACAGTTTATTGTTGTTTTCTTCCCAGATTTCAATTTCAATATTGACCCTTAGCTAGTTCAATTTTTTGATTAGAGATCGATTTTTTTTTATCATTTTCTTCTTGATAAAAGAAAATAATAAATGAAAATCTGTTTTGTAGGTTGTAGCTAGGAGAAAATTGGATGGGCAAGGAGACAAATACCGAACTCAAATCAATTTTGTCTTTGTCAAAATCATTTCAAATTAGAAAATTGATTAGTTTTAAAATCACTTAAACTGAGATGATAATTTTAACAAATCAACTGTATTAAAATATTTTTTTCTAAAATCATTAATTTTACTATCCCTTCAAACACACTTTAAATTTGTTTTCTAGTATAAGATTTGAGTATATATATATATATATATATATATATATATATATATATATATCTATTTTTTTCAGTACAGTTCAATGATCTTTTTCATATCAAACATGAAAATATATACATGTACTTTTTACCCCTTAATTAGTCGGTTGGAATCTTCCCACCACCTACCATTTTGATAATTGTTATTTTTTTATTTTAAAAAATAATATCGAATATATAGATAGGAATGATTAAGCATAGATGAAAAGTTTATTCGATTGAGTGGGTATCAATCGATTGATTTAAAAGATGCTGTCGATTTTCTACTTTGAAAAATTAATTTGTCCGACATTTGACTCATCTAATTTAAAAGTAAATTTTTTTGCAACTAAATATAATAGAGTAAAAAATGCAGCATAAAATTAATGTAAACTATAAATTAAAAAAGAAAAAGAAAAACTGCTAAAGCAAACTGACTCGCCAATCGATTTGTTTGAGAAAAATTTAAAAAAAAAAAACAAATTTAGGAATCAACAAGCCCACTTCATTCAACCCAGATTCACGTGATTGTTGATTTCTCTCACCCACGTGGCGGTTCTATATCCACTCATCTTTTTTTTTCTTTTTCTTTTTAATACTCTCTTTTCATCTCTCCCACGCGACCCGCCTGTTATATAATAAATATATATATATATATTATATTAGTTTTAAATTTTACTTTTCGAAATTTTTTTATTAATATATTTTAAACTTATTGTCACATACGTTTACATTTTAATATTCATATGTAGTGTATAGATAATTGCACTAAAGTAATATATTATATTATTTCTGTTTACGTAGTTTAAGAAATTTTTCTTTAATTGAGAAATTATTAACAAAACAAAAATAATGAATGGAAGATAATTCTTTTCAAATTTCCCTTTGGAAATCCCACATCCATCAACATGTGAAAATACATAGATTCGAATCTCGAACCTTTTGATCGAGGATATACATGCATTAACTATACTCTCGTTTGGATAAGTCGGTGGTTGAGTTATATACCTATATTTTTGTAGGCGAGGAGTAAGGTAGAAAATATAGTCCGACCTGTGATAGAAAGGAGGAGAAGAATATTAGAAGAGAACGAAGAATTAGAAGAGACATGTCAAATGGACGCAGTAATTAAGGCCACAGATAAGAATGGGGAGAAAATATTCAATGACAATGCAATTTTTTGCATGCTTCTTGGACTTCTATATGCTGGTTATCATACCTCAGCTCATGGTGCTCAATGGACAATGGTTCATGTTTCAGAAAACCCGGATGTCTACCAAAAGGCCAAGGTCTCATAATTTGGTCTCCCAAATTAATTAAACACTTGATAATCATATATATTGACAAGTTGCTCATGAATTGGTGATGGTTTTTTTACAGGAAGAACAAGAGATGATCATCAAGCAAAGACCCTCTACACAAAAGGGATTGAATTTTAAAGAAATTAAACAAATGAAGTACGCCACAAAGGTATGTGTTTGATCGTATATATAAATATATAATATGTTGGACCTCCCGTTCTTATACCATCTTAAACATGGATAAACTACTGAAAAATCTAAAAGTTTAAATTCATAAGTTAGGATAAATTTAATTCATCTATGGATATTCAATGGTTGACATAGAAATGGCTGAAAAAGTATAGGGTTGAAAAGAAAGGTGTGTTATTAAATATCATTTAGTGTGTTAATAAAAGATTACCAAAATTGGTCAATACGCAGAGCGAAGACTTTTAGAATTAAGCAATTACTTTTTGCAGAGGAAGTACATAAATGTGTTTGAGAAAATAAAATTACCATAAGTAGTTAAGTCGGCCCGTTTTGAAGATATGAAATATGAATTACTGTAATATGAAGTAAGTTATCTTTTTTCGAGGTTGGAAAGGCAGAAATGGAAGAACATCTATTAAAGGTTTTTTTTTCTTCAACAATTGTTTTCAGGTCATTAATGAGATGCTAAGATTGAATAACATTGTTTTTACAACTTTCCGCGTGGCAACCACAGATGTAAATGTCAATGGTAAGTGATTTGATTTTTCCATTATTGTCATTTATATACTTTTTCTTTTGTTTAATAAATATGGGGTGGGGATCTAGGTCAATAGTTTTTTTTTTTTTTGTAAGTAATTCATAATTAGCTAATATTAATGATTTACTCTACTATCTTTCTTCTGTATTTTGTTGTAGGTTATATTATACCAAAAGGATGGGCTGTACCAATATGGAATAGAGGCGTCCATATGGATCCTGAAATATATCAAAATCCATTGGAATTTGATCCTTCAAGATGGGATGTATGTTTTAAGATCTCAATCAATTCATTTTATTTATTATTATTTTCTTTTTAAGTTAATCTTATAAATCTTTATATTTTTTTTGTTTTGGTTTTTCCATTTTAAGGTAATTTTGATAATTCCAAAAAGGGTTTTATATGTGAATTATAAAATTAAGAAAAAATGCCAGTAAATGAGTATGAATTTATAAGCATATATAAAAATAATGATGATGGTTATAGAACGGGATTTTAATATTAACATTTGTATTTTATTTTTGTAAATTATTGTGCAGAACTATGTTCCAAAACCAGGGGAGTTTATCCCATTTGGATTGGGAAGTAGGTATTGTCCTGGAAATGAACTTGCAAGACTTGAAATTTGCATTTTGCTTCACCATTTTCTCCTTGGCTACAGGTGAGTTTCTCGACGACGTATGTAATTTGAATTTTGTTTCTTGTTTATCGATTTGAAAACTATTTTTGAGTTATGTAAACGAAAATAATTCTTATAACAACATTTTTATGTTTTTAATATTTTTAATATTTTAGATTTAGAACTTTAAAAGCGTAATTACATAAAAAAAATAAAGATAAAAACTTCGATAGATATTATAGTTTTTTTTATTTGAATCTCTTATTTAAAATTTTTTTATTTTAGATCGGCAGTAAAATGCATGCTTAATTTTTTAATAGAATTTAAATAGCTTTTGCTTTTGTCCTTATACAAATGACAGCTAAGACATGAGAAAACTTGTCTTAACAAAATCATGATTAGATTTAATTTAATAACAATGGAAAGAGAATACCTCTGATTAAAATGAATGTGTTGCAAGAAGGGGATTATATTTAATTAACTTGTAGTTTTTTTTATAAATAAATTAGTAACCTTTAAATGTCTGATATAAATAGGTTGTGCATAACAATTTCTAATATTTGTGTTGTAGATGGGAAAGAGTCAATCCAAAAGCTCCACTCAGCAACATTCCTGTTCCTGCACCGGTTGACAATTGTCTCACCAAAATAACTAAACTCCAAAGTTATTAGTTGTTTCCGTTGGAGATTTATATTTTGGATTCGAATTTACGATCTAGAATGAAACACGAACTTATTTTTTACTACTCAACTATGTTATGTCAAGTTGATGACAATAAATTTATGTTTGTTCGTGTTGTTTTTTAAGTTTGGAGTATGTTTTAAACACGGTTGTTGTTTTAGGGTGTATTTGGAAGTAGTGGTAGAATTAGTGATTTTTAAAAAAGAGATTTAAAGATGTTAATGCTGATTTCCAATGTCGGAGGGAGCTAACGTGGATGAGTAGTTGAGGTGCTCACAAGTGAAACCTGCACAAGGAACAAACATTCCGACGTCTAAGTCAGTGTGAGCGCAAAGTCTTAAGTCGTTCTCAGATAGAATTGCTTACCTGGTTAATGGAGGGAGTGTCCCTTTTATAGGCAGGTGGGGGGAGATAATACCATTAGATTGGTTACGACATGCCGTTACGGCTGTTGGACCCCAGGTTGGTGGTCGGACCTAAGACCGGAGTCCTTAGGTCGGGTAATGTCTTTTCTTCATTTTAGCTCAATGCAAAGGAGCTCGTTGAGTTCTGATGGTCTATTTGTTGTGATTGGGTTGACTTGAACTGAGTATATGCTTACATGTTTTTCATTTTTGACCGCCAACAAAAGATAGTTAATTTTTCAAAATCATCATTCAAGAGATACTTTGAAAATCAATTTAAAGTGATTTTAGACTTTTCTAAAATTAATTTTTTAATTTGTCATACATCGAAAAAATAAATGATTTTCACCCAGCAGAAGTGCTGTTTTTTCAATAATTAAACATATTTTTTCAAAAACCAATTCTCGTGCATGATGTGTAGTAAAATTTAGGTATTTTTGTTTTTTATAAACAAAAACCAGTTATCAAATCCATATGACTTTTGTTTTTTGAAAACAAAAAACAAAAAACAAAAAACTAAAATGATTATGAAACAAAAACTTTTAATTCTTGAAGTTCCAAATTAACAATTTAATTTCTAAATTTTATCTTTGATAACGATCTAATCCACCGCGTTAAATATTAGGTTAAATATGAATAGAAAATCAATATTATGTCAGCTAAGTGATACATGAACTGATTAAAAAAATTAAAAAGTAATCACTACATTGGTGGATTAATAACGTGAGTGAAATGGTTTTTATTCTCTTCCAACATAATGATTTTGTTTCTTGAAATCTTCAATGGCTTTTAGTTTTTACTTTGTTTTCTGAACATGAATTTTAAAGACATGAATCGTTAGTTTTGAAAGTTAAAAAATTAAATCGTTATTTTCGTAAAAACATAAGATTAAAAATCTATTTTTTAATCTAAAACCAAACATGCCTATGTTACAAGGTAAAAGCCAAAAGGAATGTTAAATTACAAAGGAATTATATATTCTATATATCAAAGGACTTTTAATGTTGGAGTGCTAATAACGGTGGATTTGATTTGAACTATGTTTTATTATTACTATTATTATTTATTTTTCCTTTTCACTGTTTTAAACTTTTAATCTCACTTTTCCGCATTTGTAAAACATTTTTTTTTTAAAAAAAGTGTAATTAGTAGTCAGCCGTGTGTGGACATGACAACCCACTGACGGTTCTTCCAATTGCTTTCTTCCTTGCTTATTTATTATTTTGTCTTTCAATGTTTCTATTGTTTTAAAATATGTCTAAAAAATTATTTTCATTATTTAATTATCTTTTTCATGCCAGGTCAACGATAATTACTATATATTACCGATGTGAATTCGATCATCACCCCACATATTATACTTAAAAAGATAATAATGATTATTATTCTACGAGACAAAATATATAAAATATCATTAACATGGACATGATATATTAAAAGTTAAATATTTATTAGTTAATTTAAATATATTTTGTAAATTTTTTATTTTTATAATACTTTTAAAAATATTATATTATATTAATATTTCTATCCACGTCTCCATAAAATTAAATCTCTAACATTTTTATTGAATAAATACTTAAAACTTTGGTTTCAGAGATATCGTCACCAACTGGTCATTGTCGGGCCATAACTTATCAGATGAGGATATGAAAAAGAGGGAAAATCACTCAGAAAAAAAAAAAGAAAAAAAAAGGCAGTCTTTAGATGAGGCAGTCACTGCCCACCATCCGTCGAAGATAAAGCGATGTTGTAAAACAGAAGTTTTCAGTAGTTTCTCTAAAAAACAGAGGAAGAAGAAGAGGAAGAAGAAAAACAGAGAGCAAAATAAACGAATAGAAAAAAAGGGAAAGAATCTATGGCTCTCAGAATGTGGGCTTCTTCTACTGCCAAGTCGCTCAAATTGTCTTCTGCATCCAAAACCCATTTCTCTCCTCCATTATTCTCTCTCGCCAGATGCTTTTCCACTGGTAATTTTTCCTATTCCCTCCATTGCCTGCAAACTGTTTGTGTAAATGCTTCTGTGAAGTTAGAGCTTTTTGTTTTTCTTTTTTCTTTTGGTTGGATCCCATTTCCATTCTGTAATGTTGTTTGATTAATTCTCAATTATGATTAGTTTTTTTTATTTATTTATCTGGGTAAGATAAAAGAGTGGCAATTTCTTAGTTGAATATGAAGCAATATTGGTTGAATTTGCAGTTTTGGATGGGCTGAAGTATGCTTCTTCACATGAGTGGGTGAAGCATGAGGGCCCTGTTGCTACCATTGGAATCACTGACCATGCTCAGGTGACCACCAAACAGATCATTTTTTGAACAATGTAACTCTTGTTTGCATATATTTTGGGTTAAATTATAATTTCGGTCCTGAACATTTAGTGTTGTGTTTATTTAGTCCATATACTTTAAAGAGTTTCTAATAGGTCCCTACACTTTTATGGCTTGCCTATTTAGTTCTTGTACATTAAAAAGTTTCTAATTAAGTTTGACTTTTTATTTTGTGACTATTAGTGAAAACTTTCAAGTTATAAGAGTTAATAGACATAACCCTGAAAGCTTAAAAGGACATATTAGAAACTTCTTAGGGTACAAAACACTAAATAGATAGAAATACACACAGTTACCCAACACTTGTTTTTCTAGGAACCAAAGTTATAATTTATAGCCAAAATCTTGTGTTTCCAAATAAATGTGTTTCTAGAAACACAGGTAACAATAAACAAGAAACAAGAATATTACCAAATCACCTTTTAAGAACCAAAGTTATAATTTACTGCCCAAATCTTATTCCTTTGAGTGATGTTTGGATAAGAAAACTTATGGTTGCAATTCATTTTGCTGCTAGTGGAATCATGGAAACTGACTCAATCTTTTATTAGAACAAGTTTGGTATTGAAATATCTGGTCTATAGTTGGTATTCAAATTAAACTTGGGTTGGAAGCGCTTTTCATGGGTATTGACAGGACCATCTGGGAGAAGTGGTTTTTGTGGAACTGCCAAAATCGGGTGCTCCGGTTTCTCAAGGAAAGAGCTTTGGAGCAGTGGAGAGTGTGAAAGCCACCAGTGATATCAACTCCCCAATCTCTGGTGAGGTTGTTGAAGTGAACTCACAGCTCGAGGACTCACCTGGTTTGGTAAAATTTCAACTCCTCAATTATTTGCTAATCTCTTTGGACTCTGTATTTGGTTTGATAATTTTTTGTTGTTGTTGGTTCGAGTTCCTGTATTGTGCTAACTTTAGCATTATCATTCTCGGGCGTTCACTTGTTTCGTTTTTGCATGAGTTTGGGATACCTTTTGGAAAAAAGTGTTTTTCAGCAAGAACCTATTATATAAACACTTTTGGAAGAAATTAGGGTGAGCGTGAGTTTGACATATATTTTCGTTTAAGCACTTTTTTTGTACTGTTTTTTTTAGTAAGCATCTCTCAAATACTTAAATTACAAGAGTTTCAATCACTTGTTCTTAAAAAGAGTTTTTAAATCGAAAACGTACTAAGTCAACATTAATGTGATGCCACTTCAGCTTCTTAGTTACAATGTAATAGATTGTTATTATTACATTTACAAAAGCATAGAGACTAAAACGAAACACGAGATTGAAGTATATTGTTTTATTTACTTCAGATCAATTCAAGTCCATATGAAGGGGGATGGATGATAAAAGTGAAGCCAAGCAACCCAGGTGAACTAGATTCCTTGTTTGGTCCAAAGGAATATACAAAGTTTTGTGAGGAAGATGATGCAGCCCATTAGAGCTGACCAAAAAATGTGTATCCAAACAGAGCTTAGGCTTTCAGAAGGTATTCTATTTCTGTGGAGAAATAGAGCAAAAAATTTACAAGTTCAATATGTGAGTTGAAATCTGCCTAAGCATCTCTGAACTACCATCATCCATCCTTGAATGTTCATCCCATTTGCTGCAACTTATTGAAATTCTATGCCATATTTTTAGTTATTGATTCTTGAACTTGATTTTCTCTGAACGTGTTGACGATTTGAATTATATATGAGTAAAAGTTTTAACTTTTAACAACAAATTATTACCATGCAAATAGGATCTAAATAAATGACATGCTTGAGACAACTTTTTGAAAATTATGTTTATAGTCGAGTGCTTTCTCAAATATTTCCCATTAAAGATACCGAAAGTGCTCTTAGTTGTTTCGTTTGAATGTGTTGAAATAAATATTTTCAATTTTGTACCGTCTCTCTAAAATATCATTGATCATGCAATAACTTTAGGATATTTTTTTTATTATATTATTTAATCTTTTATATGTTAGTTCGTTTGTCTATGATACTATAGAAATGTCGATTCATCCCTTATATCGATATTGAACTTATGTACGCATAAAAATATCGATGAAAATTTAGTACATTGAATGGGGTTGGTAAACATTGCTGAGGGTAATTCAACAAGTGTAGTAGAACTAAATCAGGCTTCATCTCTGGTACGAAAGTGAGATGAGTTATTTATAAGCCCATACAAAGACATGTATATGTATAAAAGCAGTGAGGGAGAGTATTGAAATCTTCCTACTAAAACTATATATTATATTTTTGGAGTTAAAAGGTGGAAATTTGAGAGCCCATTTTCTGATCTCCTTTATTTCAATATTTATGAATCTCTAACAACTCTTGCAAGGCAGTTGTCTGTAGGCCTTGGCAAAGGCAGATGATTCTCTGGGCAGTTTGGATTTACTCTCTCGAGTCTGAAAAAGAAAAGAGAGAGTTTAGCTTCTTGCTTGGATACCATGTTAAATTATAAATATTAAAAATTTTAAGCAGATGGATTATCATAAATTTAATCATTTATAGATACTTTAACACGATCTTACCTGAAGCCACCATGGATAAAATAGTGAAGGAAAATGGCGATCTCGAGTTTGGAAAGATCAATCCCAGGACAAAGTCTCATTCCTGCTCCAAAGGGAATGAAAGACCCAGCTCTACGTTTTGGATTCTGAAACCAAAGAGGAAATTAATATAAAAAAACTATATTCTTTTATATATAATTTTGCAAGGATTAGGAGTTAATTGAAAATTCTTACGTCCCATCTAGATGGGTCGAATTTTTGTGGGTTTTCATAGATTTCCGGATCCATATGAACAGCTCTCGTCCAAACAAGGATTTTCCATCCCTTTGGTATTGTATAGCCTGACAAACAAAACACGTTAAAGTCATATTTTGAGTTACGAAATACAAAAATTTAACCCCTCAAACTAACCATTTAAGTTAACGTCAACTTTTGTCTCTCTCGAAAGCGTAAATGCCAAACTTGTCTTCCTCAACGTTTCATCGATCACCTAAGCCGCAAAAAAATAATTAAAAAAGCGATATTTGAAATGATAAGGAGATTGTTCAAATGGACAGGGGGATTCTTACTCATTATCTAAAGAATTAAAATGATAATTAAAAGTGTGTATTTGGTAGTAGGTGTATGAAGAGGAGTTGAAGTTTGTTTATCTGTTTTGTTTATGTCATTTCACATGCCATTCTTCATAAAATAATAACACAAATTGTAGGGTCAAACAAATAAAATTAATAAAAATATGGGGCTAAATTTATAATATTTGGAAAGCAAATAGAGAAGAACAGAGGGGTACCTTAGAAAGATAATCCATTTGTTTGATTTCCTTCATGGTCAAGCCCTTTTGTTGGGCATCTGCCCTGGCCTTCACAATTTTCTCTTGCTCAGCCTGCACAATATATATAATATATTTTTTATTTTAAAGAAAATTAGTGTTTTCAACTTTTCAAATCTTTGCCCATAAGTAAACTCTTTATATTATTAATTTGGATTAATTGTTTAATTAGTGAAGCATACTTTTCAAATGTGTCATTTTCAATGTCACAACTACATGTTCTAATCTTTCTTGGAACCATTCCAATTTTTTTCCTCTAATTAGATAACAGCTGTAAGGTCGAGACCGTATATCAGTAATCTCTATTTATTATATCAGTAATCTCTATTTATTGTGGATGCATGTGGTAATGCTCATGTTAATTGTTTCTCGTTTTTCATTTCTTGTTCATTGTTTCTCGTTTTTTTTTTTGTTAATAAAGAAAAACATAACTGCATGCGTTTGAGAACTGTTTATTATTTATTGAAAAAAGATTCATAAACATGTGCGGTAACCATTTCTTGTTTCTTATTCTTTACCGTATTTAAAAAAAAAGGTTCAAATTTTATATGAAAATTAATTTTTAAAATTAAATATTCAAAATTTTATATTTTATTTATTTTTTAAAATATTTATTATGCATTTCAAAGAATGATAAAATAATACTTTTATCCATGTTATGAAAAAAACAGTTTCAAAAAACAAAAATTTAATTTTGTTGTTTCTAAAATTTCTACGCAATTTTGAAAACGTTTCTTAAAAATGAGAAACGAGAAACATGAACAGTTAATAAACGTTCATATTTCTCCAAAAAAACAAAAAACATGAACGTCATCAAACCAGTCCTTTAAAATCCTAAAACTAGCTTGATCATAACAACTTTAGTTTTAGGTAAAAGGAAAAGTTGAAAATGTAGGGCGAGAAACGAACCTTGGCTTTGAGAAGGGTTTCGGGATTTTCGGATAGAAACATGATAGCTCTCATGATACTATGAGCAGAAGTTTCATGGCCAGCAAAGAAAAACCCAATCAACAAATCAATAATGCAGCCATCATCCAAGCCTTGCCCATCTTCATCTCTAACTTCCAATAATAAATCAGTCATATCTTTCTTTCTCTTTTCTACTTCTTTGCTCCCCAAATTTGCCTTCTTCTCTTTCAATACATTTTCAAATATCTTTATCAGCTCCTTTCTGGCCTGAATTTCCACAAAATAAAAATTCATTAATCCTTCATCTTATAATAATAAGGTTATTTATTTCTTTATTTCTTTGCCTAGTTTGACAAGAAAAGTAGTTGACCAATTATGGTTTGTGGAATCCCACAAAATTTTGTTCTTTTTTTTTTCAATTTAGAGTTTTGACCAAGAGGTGATGTGATGGCTTCTCTCTATTTTGGGTGTAATGTATCAAGGTTTTATCATGTTGGGTGAAGTATATATAAAACCTACCATTTTTAAACATGTAATAAATTAAATATTTCTCAAAAATAAATTTGTAATAAATTAAATAATTTGTTTCCAAGAATTGTTGCCATTGTTACGTTTCTTTCTAACTTTGTTTACTTATAATAAAGCACACTTCAGTTTTAAGTTTAGGGCTTCATGTGCCTAATTTTAATTTACACCTTACTTTTCGTTTGGATCATGTGCACCTCGACTAATAAATTAATTTGTAGGTATATATATTATTATTATTATTATTATTATTATTTGAAGTGTTTTATTTCCATACCCAAGTTGTAGATTGATTCATGTATATTTAAGTTTTGATAGACATGAAATCTACGTTATTTATTTTAAAATAGAATATAATATTATCAACTGATACATATACAGGTAGGTTAAAATACAAAATTTAAAATAGTAAAGTATTATAGAATTTGTGGATAAAATTAATGCAGCATAGAGTTTAATGTTAAAAAGATGGTAAAAATTTATGGAAAATGAAAATTTAAGAATTAAAATAGGGAAAAATGTGAGGGGTGAGGGGAACGTTGGTGAAATGACCTTAAGAGCCCTGCTGAAGGTGGTACCAGGAAGATCAATGGGAGAGGCCATGAATCCCAAGTGAAAATCAGTGTACAGCTTCTCCATCTTGTCGATGAAAGCAGCTGACGTGGATCCGATGAAGATGTGGAGGAGAACCTTAAACGCCACCGTTTTCATCTCCGTCAGGAACTCCACCGGCTTCTTCATGCTTCCCCACTCCTCCAGGCACGTGACCACGATCCCCTCCACGTGCCCGATGTACAGCGACAGCGCGTCGTGCCCGCTTATCAGAGACGCGATCAGCCGCCGCAGACGACGGTGCTCCGCCTTCGGGACCGTGTTCAGGGCCTTGCTTCCGGTCAGGATTCTGGTCGCTTTCGAGTACCCGAACACGAACTGCTCGTCGTTCATCAGCACGTGCCGGCACACCTCCGGCACGCACACTATCACGCTTGGGCTCCCGAATAAATGCGTCTTGTACATCCCTATTTTACCATACCTGATTATATGGCAAAAATATTTAGTAAATTGGCAAAATAGTAACTGTATCTGAAATATGAGTCTCTGAATATACCATATACTACTCCAATAAATGAAAAATTTGTGCTATTTAAAAAGAAAAAATAGGTGACATATTTCATATAAATATATAAAAGATTACTTGGAGACGAAATGGTTGATGAAGGAATCGGGTCGACCCGAGCGGAAGGCTCGGAGGAAGGGGAGGAGGGTTCCGATGATGGGCCAGCCCATGTCGCCGGGGGGGAGGTGGTAGCGGCCACGGTGGCGCGTGATGAAGAGCCATTGGTTAAAGTTTCTGAGAATACCGAATACAAAGATATAGCCGCCGACCACAGCACCGATCAGCCATACCCACAAATCCTCCATGAATTTTGCTGCTTCGGGTATGGCTCTCAGAATGAATGAAAGGATTTTGCAGGTGGGGACGTATTTATAACAGTAATAATAATAATAATGGGTGGACTTCTCTCTCTTTACTTTACCAACTCCCTTTTTTGTCTACATTTTCAAGTAACAAAAAACATTACGTGTACTAAAAAAATAATAATAATAAAATATCATGTCAAAGAAATTTCCAACCCCAATCACCAAAATACTATAATCCAGCGTGTGTTTAGGAGTGAATGAGTAATTTTTACCGAAGAAATTTAATTATAATTGGTTTCCAAAATTATTATCTAATTTTTTAATTTAACAAACATTATTAATTAAAAGGAAAGTGATTTATGTTTCAAAAAAAAAAAGTTCAAAACTCAACAACAAAAATAGTTATTGATCAAGCTAATTAAAATAATTATATAACCATGGTTACAGAAACCAATATGTGCAGGAATAGTCTCATTTGATTTTATCTTATTTGCTCATTGCCCATACAAAATAGAAATTTAACTAGGGGTATATTTGAACTTTCTAGATTGAATATTCTATAGGGTGATTTATAATATATAAGTAAAGACAATATCTTTATTATTATTGGATTTTTTGAGTTAAACTAGAAGCAAATACATGACTTTGAGCTTAAACAAGAAAGTATCACACTATCAATAGAAATATTAAAATTTTTGTAACACATTTAATGTTCTTGTATTCAAACTTTAATCTCATTTCCTCTCTAATTAATATTAATGTTTGATAATTTCAGTTGTTGTGCCTTGTGACTAATTTCAACGAGAGGGAGTGTTAAAGATATTAATAAATAAATGATCAAATGCAACGTAATTTATCTTCTAAATAGATTATATTGAAACCAAGCACATCCTAGGATTAAAAATGTCGTAATTTAATTGCAAATTTTTAATAATTATTACAATTAGCAAAGTGGGAAATACCCGACGGCCGAACCTTTGTGGGGAGAGAATTATCACTGCTAAAATACCGATCTTAGAAGGTCTCAACATTAATGTCTGTTTTTGACCGTTGTTCATTAAATAAAATATGATGTGCGACAGTGAATTTTAGAAGAAATTAGTTAACAAAATCAATACTTTATACTAAAATATTATCACCTAATTCGCTTTTTTTTTTTTGACATGCAACAGGTTTTAAGGTTTTTGAGACTTTGGCAAAGCGAGACATAAAATTCCTTTGGCATAAAACTAAATAAAATTTCTTGTGCCTAAAGGGGATTTGAAAACGAAGCTCATTTTTTCCTTCTCCACCAATACTATTTTAGTATAACAAGTGGAAGTGAAAGATTCGAATGCATTATCGAGACATATGTCAACTGAACTAAGCTCAAGTATTGGCTCTTTTTCATATATATTATTAATACGTTAATTACTTTTTTTTATTTGGTTACTAAACATTTAAAAAAACATATTTTAATTCTTAAATTTAAAACTAATTACTTGATCACAATTATTTTTTGTCGTCATTTATTTGACAGATGACTTTGCAAATGTGTATTGACGTTTAAATTCTAAGTTGAGCATGTATGGGAGGTACCTAACATTCAAATTCTAGTCAAATATTCTTATTGTCCAGATTGGATATTCAAATACTAGCATAAAGTTATGAAATTTTATTAGAGTAGCATAATTCAAATTAGAAATCTATAATGTTAAAATGCACCAAAAAAAAAAAAGTCACACTTATCCATATTTGAAAAAAAAATGTGACATTTTTAAAAATACATATTATATTTATATTATGCGAACTATTTCATTTTTACATGTTACAAATTCAAATATAAAGATTCATATTTGATCCTTTGATCTAGTGATATATATCTTAACTAATCAATTTTTTAATTCACATATGAATAGAAACCGCCACCAATTATTGTATTTATATATTTGAATAACAATTAGCTATGTTTAGATTGGTTTGGAGACAATAAAATTATTTAAAAGATTAATTAAATAGTGGCACTATTATATTATAGATTTTTTTGGAATTCATCTTTACCTGTTCTAATATTTGCAACATGTATGTAATGTAAGTCAACTATGTTAAGTTAATGGAAAATAATAAGTCAACTAATTAAATTAAGAGAAAAGATACCAATTCATATTGTAATTTTTTTTTCTTTTTTGATAGAGGTATAATTCATATTGTATGTTGATGATGCTTAAAAGACATATTTATCCTTCAATTTTCGACGTGCAAATTTCAACATTATTATTATTATTATTATTAATTTTTTTTGAGACAGAATTTCAACATGATTTTCTTTTCATTCTCACAAACAAATAAAAATATTAAACTTTGGCCGTTGAGATTTCATTAATGGAACGTGACATTTTCTTCCTTCCCACCTACTTTCCATTATTGAATCGCTTGATTTTCAGATTTCTGTTTTCTGATCCTCATCCAAATCACACTCTAAAGTTTCTCTTATTTGTCAATATGGTGTTAAGTTGGAAGTTCCTCTTAACTTTTAAGTAGCCAAGTCTTTTCATTTCTTTTTACCCCACTTGAAACTCGCTTATTTTCTCCTAATTTTCTTTTTAATTTAGCCTTACATAATTCTAATACGGCCAAATAGTATAAACTAAACTTATTGGCACAAATAAACAGTAAAAACAAACGAAAACCTTAAAGTCCTAAGAATTCAAATTGAAACAAATTCTAAATTACGAAGACCAACTTAGTAATTTAATCCAAAACAAAATAATAAATTGGAGAATATGTAGAGATTATTATAAATTTATGAAGCATATATGTAAAGATATAGTTCATCATTGTATAAAAATATTTCAAAAGCGCAGCAAAATATTTTTTTCTCTCTCTAAATGTTTTTACATTGTTTATTCTTTTAAATCATTATAATTTCTTAATGATAATTATTATGTGAGAAAATATATTTAAGGAATGATTACAACTATTGAAAAAAATGTTTCTTCCATTAGTTTTATATTTTGGGCTGCAAGTATGAAGATGGAAGAATAATTAATATATGCACAAGTAGATGAACTTGAATGAATAATTAATATAAGGTACAATAACATACATATATCAATCCCACTAAATTGATATCTAAACAAACTATTTATGAAGGTTCCATATATCGTTTCTCCAATAAATAAAGCTTCGTTATTTATTTCCAAGAAAAATAATATATATATATATAGATATATATATATGGACTTAATTAGTCTCAATTTCTAATAATCTAAGTTTTGGGTTCTTGAATGGGTCGAAGGAGAGGCATTGAATCTGTTTTGTGCAATTAATTTCTTATTTGTTAATCTAATGGACAGTGAAATCCACGTCTAATAATGCCTACCCATGATTTATTTTTCCTTCACTTTTGCTTTAAAGTATTTAAAGAATTAAACTAACAAGAGCTGCTGAGTCGTAATTGGTAGCTATTTTTCTGATTCAGAAAATAAACATCAATCTCTTACCTGTACTAAAAAATATATTTAAATATTTAAAGAATAAAATGTACAATAATTAAGTTTGAAACGAAAAATAAATACCTTTTTTCTTTCTAAATCAAAACTATTCTCAAATTTTACCACGTTGCAAGCTAGTTCTTTATGAGTACTTGTATCTCTTATTTTCGATCTCGAACCTAGAGAGCAATTGTCTAATTAGATCGTCTAACCTTAATGCACATTAACACGTATCGTTGGTCCATAGTCTTTATCTAAACAACTCTTGTAACTAGAGTATTAAGTTTCCATCCATATATCAATATTTACATCTACATTTTTCGTATGCTTATGAGTTCGAATAGACATAGGAGAGTCAATCAACATTTCCATAATATCGTAAAAAAAATGACAAACTATAAAAAATATCAACAAACTATTACGAATATAAACATAATATCAATATTAATAATTTTTAACTTATTTAAAAAGAGCGAAAGAGTAATTTAAATATTTTTATGAATTTTTTCAAAAATATCTATTAGCTTCAATATTTTATCAATACTTCACTTGATATCGACATTTAAAATCTTCCTCCTATCTCACCTATTCAAAATAGAGGACACAACCACATGTGCTTGTATTCATATGTCAAGTACAAATGGGCACCTTATGAAATCAACCTTTACTTAAGTTTTTTTTTCCTTTTTTTCTAAACAACCTTTATTTAAGTTCATTAAAACAAATATTAAAAAAAATATATAATGATCCTAACATAAAAATAATAGATTTTTCCAACAAAAAAAATGAAAAAAGAAAAAGTCTTTACCTACCCATATATCCCAATCATGATGGAAACACTAAAATAAGTTGATTAGCTGAATTTTAAAATTTTCATCCAAAAAAGAAGAAAAAAATGAAAGAAGAAGAAAAAACTGAATTTTAAATTCCAAAAGATTTCAACTTAATATTGTTCTCTACGTGCATTCATATCATTCTTCTATTCCTTCAAGCAAACCATTTTAGATTTAGTCTTTCAAATGATATACGATGATGGACCAATTAATTATCATATGGTTAATTAATTAACTTCTAAACTCGTCAACCGTTGTATAAATGAACTTGGTTGGTACATTCTCACACGTCTTTAAAAACATCAAACTTCAGTCATTTATAATGTTCTTTTAGAGAGTCATTTGATCTTTACAAACTCTTTTTTTTTTAATTCAATACGTAGAAGTGGATATTTGAATTCTCAACTTCATAATTGGATACTTGGGCCTTAACCTGTTGAGTTATACGTTGGTTGGCTATCTTTAAAAACTATTATAAACTATTAGAACACAATTAACATTAGCTCTATAGGTTGTTAAGATTGCTTATTTTATCCATTCTACCATTCCTCTTCTAAACTGTTTGTATCCTTTAAAATATGAAAATTGAAAAATGACTTTCTAGAAGAAGATTAGTACTTCTTCGAAATCATTTATATTTCTTAGATATACTATTTTTCTCCAGAGAGGTTGAGAAAAAAAACGGTAACGAATGTATATAGAAATTAGAAGCGTATATATACGAAAAAGTATAGGGATGAGGAAGGACTTTATGGTTGATGACAATAATGTTAGGTATGAGGATTTAATGTGAGAGCTAGGTTATAAAAATAATTACATAATACAAAGATTTGAATGTCTGGTAGTGAGAGTCAGTTCAAAGTTTTGCATGTGTGACAACATATTTTGTTGTTTTGTTTCTTTTTCTTTAATGAACAACAAAAGTACAAACATGGGATTATGATGGAAGTGTGTGTCCAAAGTTGGAACAAATATTAACATGGGATTTTAAAAATAAAAAAATGTAATGTGGCCTTCAAAACTAATTTTAAAATATGCTTGTTTTCAAACTAAAGTACACGAATGATGATGGTAGAATTAGTCCCATGACGAAATTGGGTAAGAACGAAAATGAAAATATGTAATATATATACAAAAAAAATTTTTAGTACTAACATGTGGGGAACATGTGGGGATAGGTAATCGAACAGACAACCTATATATACCAATTACGACTGACTTATGCTCGTTTTGACTGGAGATATGTCAATTATTGTTGAGTTATGTTTGCTTTTAACAAAATATATATATAGAAAACATTGATGCCCTTTTTGGTATCCCAGATTTTGAGGGATTTCAAAATCATGATGGATTTTAAATGAATTCCACCGTTGCACGGATTAATCCAGTTTTAATCCAGTTTTTATGTAAAAAATTTCTAGATCAAAATGGTTCGATTCGTTAAGGATTTCATAGAATTTCAAAGTAATTTACAAATTTAACCTATCATTTTTTAATTTCTAAATAATAAATTTAGATTAAAAGTCCAAATCAATAAAGTTTTTATTTTCTTTTCCATTCCAGCGAACATCCAAACGACAATATTTAATTTACTCTTGACGCAAAACGGAGAGTAAAGGATATAAATCTAAAATTGTCGACCTTAAGATACCATGTTGAATTACTTGAACTCCAAATCCATCTAATGGATACTAATTTTGAAAGACATGTGTTGTTGAATCCCTCGAATTAAGCAAACTTTCTCTAAAATTCTCAACTTCTAATTATGAAATCCTTGGACAATCTCCACTAGTGCAATTTCTTTAATGGGTTGAATTTCTACTTCTCTTTTTTCTGTGTTCATCATATTCATTGATTCCTTTTTGCCCCTAAGGAAAAGATTTGGTGAGATTAGGGGAAAGAAAGAGGAGAGATTGGATTATTATTTTACACAATTTTGTTTAATAGTAACTTGTTGCAAATTCCAACTTATAATGAATATTGTGTGAACCTAAACCTCTTCGTAATCTCTCTAAAGGATCTTACTTTTTTCAATTATTTGAAACATGATCTAAATATTAAATTTAGTAAATTAGACTGTTAAAAAATCTAGATGGATAAACGCAAGTTGGTGTTGAGATATAATAAAAGAATTAAATTTACCCAATTCCTAACTTAAGCTTTTAAGTTGAGGTTGGGTGGTGGTTTATTCATCTTAACATAGAGCGGGAGATCCTGTACTTCCCTCAATCTTCACTTTATGCCACGCCGACTCCCCTTTCGTCATAAGGCGTGGAATTAGACCAAGGGGAATCTCCATAGGAACTAGTCCCTCTGATTTTGCACGTAGGAGATCGAGACACTGCCCCAGGGCTATGGACAAAGATGTAGATCGATCGCCCTATCTCGACAACTACATAGAGGGTCTAACGTTGTATATATATACTTAGATTTCGTTCCCCCCGTGAGATCAATATCACAACCAATATTCTAAGAAAGGATATTTTTAGATATCGGTAGTTGTCCGGTCGTACCCAAACGGTAAGATTCCAGAGGAAAATGCACCCAAGATTAAATATTTCGAGCCGGCTTCCGTGGAAAATTYAGACTTTCTTTTTGATGCTGCCATCACATAAAAACATAAACTTTGAGGCTCAATAGCTACCCCTACCTTTGTTGTTTCCTCCCAAGTCTTTAACCTTTTAGGTAAACTAAAAATTTCAAACCAAAAGCATGTACTAATTTTAAGAATTTTTTATTTTTTAAATAGAATTACTTTACAATTTCAAAAAGCTCTTTGAAAATTTAGAATCTAGATATAGAATAAATCATCAACCAACCTTATTTTTCTGGCACCTAAAGAATCAAATCAGATAAAATTCCATGAAGAAAGCCATAAAATCCATCAAAAATTAAGGAAAACTAAATCTATGGTTAACTTGCATTCCAATCACATTAAGTAAATGAAAATATATTAAAACTTTTTCTCAAAAAAAAAATTAAAATTAAAACTTGAAGAAAGCATTAACAAAGTCAACTCCACAATCAAGTTATAAATTAAACAATTTTCCAAATCCAAAAGCAAAGATATTGCAAAATTGAATTGAAATTACTTGGTGTATTCACAATTCAAATGGTACATGAATTCAAACCTCTCGTCTTTTGGGAAGAAGTTGTTGATGTCTCTTGACGATTCTATCATGGATGGGCAATAATCTCTTGTTATGGCAACCAATAAAACTCTCCCTACACAAAGGATGTGATGGTTTTGTCGACGTTTCTATCAACATATGTTTTCATGGGTTCGATATCGATTTTCATTATAGTACAAGAAAATCGACCAAAATATGAAAAATATCAACGATATCTACACAATATTAATATTAATTATTTTTAACTAATTTAGAAATAGGAAAATGTTTATTTGTTAATTTAAATATTTTTTACGATTTTTTAATTTTTCTAACTTTTACTTCATCAATATTTCTATCCATATTTCCATGGAATTGAAACCTCGACATTTCCATCGACATCAATACTCAAAACCTCGTAGAGAATGAAGAAATTTTGAAAAAAGCTGTAAGATATATCGAGCATATAAAACAGAATAAAAAAGAACTTGTATAATTGAATCTATTAAGTACTTGTAATTGTAATTTAGAAAGTTTCTAATAAATTTTTTAATTTTTAAATAAAAAATTGTCTCTAGATTGTTTCACAGCCAAATTTTCACAAATGTCTATTTGGATGAAAATTTTCACTTATTAAATTTACAGAATTTTTTTGTGACCATATTACTCCTTTTTTATTTCAACAAGCTACATTTATTATGTGTATTTTTATTGATACTTTTAATTTTTTTCAATTAAGGCAAACATTCCTATATTTGTTAAAAGATTTTATATTTCCAAAATTTACTCTCTTAATTTTTCGATGATTCTTGTTCGAATTTTCCGACGTTGTTTATAGCGTCCTTTTTTCGGCGTCTTATTTTTAATAGTATAGTAAACATATATTCCTCAAAATATTATTTTCATATTTTAACCATCTTCTTCCACGCATTTTTTTTACACTTTTTTTTCAATAATATGATAAATATATACTCATCGAAAATATTATATAATATGTACTTTTTGTTGGTATATACTAAACTATTAGATTATATCATCTATTTCAACGGTTTTTATTTTTCATTTTAATCTTCTAATATACCTAATGATAAACATAGACTCATTCCAAGATTATATAATATATACTTTTCATTATTATACACTACACTAATAGGTTATAAATATATGTTTTTTTTATTGAACTTACACTATGATAATAATATCCCCTAATGTATTACATACATCCAATATATACTCAATAAGATAACCCAACATATGATGCATATACTTGATTTTATTAAACAAAACATGTACCCAAGAGAGACTCCACACATACCTAAAAATATACCTAACATATGCTTTCTCTTTGGAAAAAAGAAAAAGAAAAAGAAATCCTAAGTTTTCTTTACCATTCTGCCATAGACTGCCGCTCATGGAGGATCGCTAGAGCGTCATGGTTCATCGCAGTTTGAAGACTCGAAAATGTCTAAGCTAATAAAGGGTGCTGCCATTCGCTGCTCGCAAGGAAGAAGATGGGTCGTGTTAGGTTTCAAAAGAATTTGGGATGTAAAATCTGAAAATCATATAATGAATATGGCCTAAAAATTGAGTTTTTTCCTTATTGGTAATTTCTCTATTTATTTATTACATTTATATGACCATGGATAGCTTGGTAATTTTTACGTGTACCCATGCTCTATTTTGACAAATCTATAAATTATTAAGATTTAAGTTATTTATGTAATTAAGTTCTCCAAAGAGTCATATTTACCAATTTTTTATTTGTATTTATAAGACAAATATGATTGTACCTCATAAGTTTTAAGTTGATCTATCTGACACAATATAGTTGTGTTGAGATGTTTATTAGATACAAAATCGAAAATTCTAAATAATAAAAAAAAATTCTAAAAAATGAAGAAAAAAATTGGGTTATAGATCCACCTGCAAGAGGTAGGTAGCCTTAACCGATGTGTTAACAGGGAAGCCCGAAGGCTGTTCCCGACCCTGTCAGGGGAGATGCCAACCATCTCTCCTTTAATCGAACACAACTTGTAAAACGGTGGCGTTTTATTATATTGGGCCTTGTGTTGTGTAAATCTTCCGATGTGGGATTGTGGAGTGGAGCATTTTATTATTCGCCACTTTTTTTTTTCCTAATTTTATATATTCTTTGTAAATTTCCTTTTTAGAAAAATAAACGTTTATTACTCAAATTAACGGCTGACATAAACACATCGCTCGAGTCTAAAATTACAGTATCGTTAAGT